TGGCCAAGAAGGCCAATGGCATCCTAGCCTGTATCAGGAACAGTGTGGCCAGCAGGAGCAGGGAAGTGATTGTGCCCCTGTACTCGGCACTAGTTAGGTCACACCTTGAGTACTGTGTCCAGTTCTGGGCCTCTAAGTTTAGGAAGGATACTGAGGTGCTGGAGCATGTCCAAAGGGCAGTGAGGTTGGTGAAGGGACTGGAGCACAAGCCCTATGAGGAGCTGGGGTTGTTTAGCCTGGAGAAGAGGAGGCTGAGGGGAGACCTCATCACTCTCTACAACTACCTGAAAGGAGGTTGTAGCCAGGTGGGGGTCGGTCTCTTCTCCCAGGCAACCAGCAGTAGGACAAGAGGGCACAGTTTTAAGATGTGCCAGGGGAGGTTTAGCTTAGACATTAGGAAGCAATTCTTTACAGAGAGAGTGATCAGACACTGGACTGGGCTACCGAGGGAGGTGGTGGATTCACTGTCCCTGGAGGTATTTAAGAAGAGATTGGATGTTGCACTTAGAGCCACGGTCTAGTTGACAAGGTCATAGATTGGGTCATAGCTTGGACTTGATGATCTCAGAGGTCTTTTCCAACCTAGTTGATTCTGTGATTCTGTGTGATTCTATGAAATTTGCTATTTTCTACTAGAAAGTAAGAATCACATAAGGGTAAAAATAAAATAAATAAGAAAAAAAAAAAAAAAAACAACCCACCCAAAAATACGTCACAAGATCTGTTACTTCACAAATAGTAAAACTAAATTGTGAAATTGAGTTTATGTAATACCTTAATCTGATAAAATAAAAAAAATCAATTTAAATGTGAAGGTTACCACATAAACTCTTCTTTTCCTCTAGAATGTAAATATTAAAATTAATTCTTTCCCCAAATTTCAAACAAGACTATATCATGGTTTATTTTCAAATGCACAGAGACAAGGAATACAGCACAGAAATTTTCACAATGACTATCTAATTGTAGTTATTATTTAGATTTATAAAAATGTCAAATGTCTATACAATGTCAATTTGCCTACTGTACAATCTTTTCCACCAAAAAACATACCAAAAACTTTTTATTACCAATGCACTGTCTTACACATCATAAACTATGGAACAGAATCAGTTCTCTTGACAGATCTGCATCATCACCAGTGTTTCTGCTTGGCTGTATCAGGTAGATACTATGACTTTTCCTCCTCCTGTGCTGTATGCCAGCAGAACACAGTTGGATGTACCAATCTTAAAATTTCAAAGCATAGAACAGATATTAATTTATGTCTGCAACACTAAGAAACAAGTAGATATTTTACATACCTGGAAATCAAAGAAAGGTGAAGTGCTTTGTCTAAAGGCACTTGGAAGAAATGAGTAACAAAGCCATAATTAAAATTCAACATCAAGCTTCAGGTTAATCCTTTAGACTTAACTGCCTTTTTTCAAAGTGCATGATTTGGAACATCAAAATAAGAATCAATTCAGTCTCTTTTTTCACTACATCCTTTAATGATAAAATACTACATTCAGCTTCTTCCCCTGTACTCACATGAACAATCATCTTTCTTAAGAATCAAACTCATGAAATCATTTTGAATTACAAAGAACAGTTACAAAGGAAGTCAAGTCACACGTAAAATCTGAATTCCACATTTGATTTAGCCTCTACCTCTGTGTACTGAAGGACTTACAGGAAAACATACATACGTGCTGGGTATGCCAGTACACCAACTTATACTAAACCAATTTAATTAGTTTGCTTTCAATGCAAAGGTGCAGCACCTCAGCAATTATGAGATCGTTAATACAACAGAGCATAACAGCACCTTTAGAGATCCTGTCTAACCTCTAGGCACACATATAACTCCCATTAAGACTAATGGGAGTCACATGTGTGTATCCAAGAGAAAAGAGACCCATTAAAACTGATACAACATATCCATTAATCTTCAGGTCACTCTTAAGGTCAAACATTATAAAAATGTTTATGAACAGTACTTACTAGCTATTCACAGTGGCTACTTTGGTTTTGGTACAGACCTGTGAGCAGTTAAGGCCATGGAAAATGTCTGCATTAAAAGCATCACCACGTTTCAAGTAGAGGCACAGAAATCTGAGAGCGCTTTTCTGTAGTCAGAGAGTACATTTTTCTATCATATCCTGAAAGAATTAGAAGGATAGAAATGACAGGGAAGGTTAGACACAAATGAAAACCTTGGACAAAGGTATGCTCCAGCTTTTCATTTTTCTTCCATCCCCCAATCCTTCTTCATATTTCAGTCCCTTAGTTGTGGTTTTCCGCTTCAGGAAGAATATTAATAGCAGTGACTAAATTCCTAATCTGTGCAGCCTGCTATGAAGACACTACAAATAACATTTTGATTACTGAATTACCAGCAAAGCACAACAATTCAAGAACTGCTTACAGGCAGTAAAGGGTGTTTAAAGTTTTTCAAAGAGAAAGGTAACTTTAGTTTACTCTTCATTTCATTCAGCATATCTGAAAACTGCCTTTTTCATCACTGCAGGAGTTTAGGCATGCATGCTCTTTTCCAGTTTAGAAAAAGTTAAGTCTGTAAAATCAATCTGTTCGGCAATGAATTTGCAGGCTTCCTCCGCCCTGAGTCCTGGAGGAGAGAGAAAGAGTTCTTCTCAGCAGCATGAGGGCCAGATGATCTTCATTTGAACAGAGCAGAAAGAACAGTAGGAGGAAATGTGTCAGATGAGTACAGAAGTGAAAAAATGAGGACAAAATTCAGATATGAAATACCCCTATTTGTTTGCTGTTTCTTTCAGGAACTGGAGTAAATGAGGAAAAATGGCTTCATCAAGACTTACTCGTGAACTATTCTGAAAGTCATGTTCTAGAACTCATGTCAAAACTCTTATTCTGTATGTGAGACTTGTTCAGCACTGTCCTATTACAGGGTCTGCAAGTACTCCAAAGACTGACAACTTAGCATTGCAACTTTTGTTCAGAGACCTCATGAGACAGACACAGATAGTCGGTGTGAAGTCAAAACAGAGGCAAGCTTTCACCTAGAAATCACGGCTCCCAGAGACAGTCACAACATCAGCCCACCAAGAAATAGCACAATGCTTCACTCTTGAACTTCTCTATTGCCTTTCTCTGCTATGCCCACATAACACGGGGTCTCACTTCAGAAGATTTTAGATGCTGATAAACTCTCCACAGTGTCCAGAACAAGGAAGTGGTTTTGTTGCTAATTCAAATATACAATGATAAATAAATGGTAATAAATTAATACCATGGTTCAATTAATTACTCCTCTGCAGAAATAAATCATGACATGGTTTTCTTTTAAAAACAAAGCAAAAATTACCCCAAATATCTTGTTGTATATAGTAGACTATCTAAACACTTAGGGGTGATTGTTTTTCCTTTATTAGTGGTCATAAGCTTTCCACTACAATGTCTTTTTGTGAAACAGAAGTGCCTTCCTCGCTCAAAAGATTTTGCTTAAAATGTATTTTCCATGCAAAAAGACCTGATCACCATTTTGTGAAATCAGCCAAGTGAATTAGCCTTATTCACTTCAAATGTTTTTTTCTAAAAGAGGAACTACTTATTGTTAACAAAGTTAGGCATCTGTTTTGCTTTATCATTGTGAAAAATTACATGTAAATCCCGAACAAAACTGTTTTTTCAAGATCCTGATATTCATAAAGGCCTGTACTTTGTTTTTGGGCATCTCACGTAGTCCAGAGCACCATCTAATTTCTTGTCTGTGATTTAGAAAAACCAGTACAGAATCCATCAATATGTGCCTATGGGCTTCCACAACCTCCTCAGCACAGACAACGTCAGCAAGGTATTTGAGGAACTGTTACTTTTAACATCACCTGTGAATCTGTGCTCGTGAATGTGTCAAAACTAAATATAGTTACGGTTTGGAAATAAATCACTATTTGAGCATCTTTTAATCCCTACGTTTAATAAACATTGTCAATTCATATCAACCTGTTAATACAGTTCTCTTTAATTTGCTTTCTAGAACTGTAATAGCCAACTTTTCAATGCAGTTTCCTCCACCTAAGGTGTGCAATTCATCCAAATAATAGCTCTGTGTCACCCAAAAACACTTTCAACCCGTTCTCAGCAGGAGAACCTGGCTGACACTGACGCCAGTAACCAAGCGAGCAGCCACGCACCCAGCAGTGCTGCCGCGTTACTGCTGGAGAAATACCCGCCCGAAGTACTTTTAGAACGTTGCCACATTTCCTCCAGTCTGCTCAGTTTCTACTCTCACAGCCCTGTGATTCCTGCCAGTAAATGCTCCACCGGTCTGCCGTCGGCTCCAAGTGGCTCGGCCTCGCCTCCCCCGCACCACTCCCGGTGACCACCCCACCCCGAGTCAGGAGCCTCTCCACGGCCCCACGGGCGGCCAGGAGCCCTTCGGGCGCTCGCCGAACTGCGGATGGCGGAACTGCAGCCCGGGTGCCACCGGGACGCCCAAAGCGGGATCACCGCCCCGGATGGCCGGGACGTTCCCGCTGCCCGGCGGCCCCACCCTGCCCTGCAGCCGCCCCGCCCCCGCCGCTCCCATTGGCTGCTCCTTCTCCCCGAGCCGCCGATTTGCTCCTCGGCCTGTCAGTCAGGCAGGCAGGCGCGCGCCCCGCCCCGGCACGGCCGCCGTGCGGGAAGCGCCTCTCGCGCGCCGTCCCGGTGTCCACGAGCGCCTCCTGCGCGGGCGGCACCGCCGGCACTGCGGGCACCGCGCCCCGGGAGCGGCCTCTGCCCCGCCCCGCACAGCACTGCCCAGCACCGCCCCGCACAGCACCGCACAGCACCGCGCCGCCCCGCACAGCACCGCACAGCACCGCACCAGCACCGCACCGCACCGCCCCGGCCGAGGGGACGCCGTCCGGGCGGCCTCGTCCGAGCGGAACTTTGCCGGGAGGCCAGAGGCAGAGCCTGGCGGGCTGAGCCCGGCGGCGGTGCAGGTCAGTCGGGGCACGGGGCGGGACGAGCCGGAGGCGCTGCGGTGGGCGGGGGCCACGGCCTTTGGCGGATCCAGGTCAGGTAACCTCCCACGGCCCGGCGGCCGGGGCAGTCCCGCAGGGTCAGCCCCTCTGGGTCAGTCCCTGGCTCTGCTCCAGGGCCTGCGTGTGAGAACTCGTGTTCAGCCTCCCGCCCTCCCCGTGCGCCTCCGTGCCAGGAGTCCCGCGGGCGCGCAGGCTCCCGGTGCAGCAGAGGGATGGCGAGGCTTCCGGCTAGGCCTGGGCGTGCGGGAAGAGAGGACGGAGCCTGGGGACAAGCTCCGTAGAGAGGAGAAGGTATAATATCCTGTCAGAGGAGTATTTTTGTCTGAGTTGTTACTCTGATATCAGTTGAGAGAGTGAAGCATTTTAAATCTCCAAGGCTCTATGCTGTGACTGCGTGCTACAGGTGACAAGGTTTCCTGTAGGAAACCTGCTCGGGGTGAGGGTGGCATCTTTCCACTTTCTGTTTATCCAATTTTGTATAGCTTTTAAGTATCCAGGACCATTGGCTTTCCGCAAAATGGAGGTGGATTTTTTCCGAATGGCCCACGTGTTTTGACAGAGGGGTGAATTCTGCTTATGACGTTGTCCATACTGGAAACTACTTTCTGTGTGACCTTTCAACTATCAGAGGTTGGGAGGTGTTCACTAAGGTCAAAGATGAAGTACGGCCAGTTTGCAGTGAAATCTGACTCCAAAATGTTTTACCATTTGATTTTCCTGGAAGTTAGAGAATTCTTGTCAAACCTATTTTGAGGTGTTATTAACATAGAGTTCAACAACAGTTGCAATATAAGACCAGGAGTTGAGAGCTATTTCTCTAGAAGACTATTATAATACTGTTTTTATTCTTTATGAAGGTACATTTCAGCAGTGCTTTCTTGTATGGATTCTTTTTCATCTTTCTGCTTTGGTTTCTATTCATCAGCAGCTTGTTTTTCAGTTCCTGGATGTCCACCATCACCAGTTTATCTAATGAAATGATTAGTAGGAGAGCAACTGAAAGTTCCATTGCTGGTACCTTAATTAGAGTAGCAACTAAGTTGTTAAGGGGATTAAAAATTCACGTCTAATTTTTATTTTTTATGTTTGTTTATGCTTCATGAAGTCATCAATATCAGTTAACTTGCTGTGGAATTAAATTCACATCTATAAGATATATAAATTAACTCATTAAAAGGGGTTTTTTAAAAATTTTTAATTTTTGGTAGAAATTGAATAGACCAGTAGGGCACATAATCAAGAGTACTGGAGATGTTTGACACTTATATTTTAGTTCTTTTGGAATTTACTACAGAAATAGATGATCGTATCAGTATTGGAACACCTACTTTGGTTGCTAGTGCTCCAGCATTGGTTGCTAGTAGGAACACTTTTCTGGAGTTAAAAAGTTGTATTTTCCACAAACCCTTTCCTTGGAAAGAATAGTTAAACACTTGTGTCTGTAGTGATGTAAAAGGAAAGCTGATGGTGTGCTTGAGAGATTACACCATGAGTAAACTAGTTCAGTTTTCTGTAGTAAAAAAAGAAAATCTCCGATATTTTGCTATCCTATACATTGCAATAATGTTTTTTAAATAATTTGTCTTCCTCTGGGTAAATCAGGTGGTATTTTTATTGCTAACAATTGTCAGAAGTTTGTGTCTACTTGTGCAAACATACTTCAGAAAGCACCATTATTTTTGGTTTTTAAAAATCTTAAAATTTTAATAACTTATGTGTTTCATGTCCCTGTACTCAACACTGGTGAGGCCGCACCTCAAGTACTTCATTTGGTTGTGGGCCCCTCACTGCAAAAATTGAGGGTGCTAGAGTGTGTCCAGCAGAGAGCAACAAGTCTTATGAAAGGTCTAGAAACGTGTCTTATGAGGAACAGCCGAGGGAGCTGGGTTTGTTTAGTCTTGAGAAAAGGAGGTTCAGGGGGGACCTCATCGCTCTTCACAACTGCCTGAAATGAGCCTGTAGTGAAGTGGAGGACTGTCTTAACCAATCCAAGAGGAAACGGTCTCAAGCTGAGACAGGGGAGATTCAGATTAGATGTTAGAAAAAAATTTTTGCACTCTTTAGGTGGTCAGGCATTGGAATAGGGCTGCCCAGGAAGGTGGTGGTCACCATCCCTGAAAGGGTTTAAGAGGCATCTGAGTCTGGTGCTGGGTGATGTGCTTTAGGGGTAGTGGCAGTGCTGGGTTAATGGTTGGACTTAATGATCTTAAAGGTCTCTTCCAGTCTTTATGGTTCTATGATTTTAATTACCCTGATGCTTATAAGTGTTCTCTGTATCTTTAAGTTACAGAGAATCTATCTCTAAGATAGAGTCTGTGGATTGTAAAGTGGAATACATTTCAAGCTCTTCACTGTGAAGGTTTTGCGAGGATGTTATATTAATTACGTCTTCTTTCTTGCCTACCATTCTGGATTGCATTGAGGGAGGCTGAAATAGGTGGATGTTGAGGACTTTTTAGAAGTGAGAGTTTGTGTGTGCATGAATGTTTTTAAAACCCCAGTGTTACGCATATATATTTGCAGTTTTTAAAGTAAGAAAGTAAGTAAGTAAGAATTGAGTATGTTTATTATTGAGTACAGAGCATTGTGAAATTGCTTTAATTTGGGACCACAGCAACTTAAATAACCCTTTGGTTATCCTTTTGCCTCTATTTCTAAGTCCTTTTAACTTCTAGACCTGCCTTAGTTAAAACTTGTGGGTTTTTATTTGTTGAGATCATCTTTTTCAACAAATGAAGAAAATCTGTTCCCATTAATGTTGGTATATTTAAGTAAATAAACTCTGCATGAGTGTAAAAATATCTTTTACCTTTGTTAGAAATGCTAAAAACTGTAAAGTAATAGTAGCAAACATATATATCTGAATTGGCTCATGCTTAAGTGAACTACCCTTAGAACTCTGAGTATAGCACTACAAATATAAAATTTCATCTTCTGAGTTTATTTTTTAAAAAAATTATATTCTTAGGCAATGGGCTTTCAGATGCGTTATGAATCTCCTTGCATATTAAAAGGCTGTCAAGTAGCTGGAATGGTATGCCTCAGTTCGTGTTGGAAGATTGTTAAGGATTAGGCTTGATATATGGAATGTCTGTTTTCTGCAGGAGTATGTTTAGATTTGGGTGGGAATTTTTTTATTTATTTGACAACTCAGGGTGTTTATCTCCTTTTAGATTCTTCTATTATTCCCCCACCCCAAGACTGTAGGTATAATTTCATTAGAGAATGTAGTGACTCAGAGAAAGGTTTTGATACTTAGGGTGGTCCAGGACACATAGGAAGTAAATGTGTCTGTAATGGATGAAATTAAATTCAACCAAAACTTGCAAGCAGGTATTAATAGTATATAAAGACTTGATTGAACCCTTCATAGAATAAAGTAGGAAAAGGAATTTATGTACTGGGATAGTTTTTGACACTGTTACTAATCCAAGGACCTTTATTTGGGCTTTGACATCAAATGCTGTGATGTAAGTCAGGAAAGAGATTTATCTTCTCCTCTGGTTTACAGTCTTTTATAGCCTTCTAAAGTGAAAGTCCTGAAAATCAGCAAAGACTGCTACCCAGAGAGTATTTAGGAAGGAAACAGGTTTATATATGGCTATATATTATCAATATCAAAAATGTGATCATGGCTAGGCTTCGCGAACGAAGATTTGAAAGGGCTCTACCCACGCTTGCTACAAGCGCGCTGATGGCTAAAAAGGCCAATGCGAGATAGACAAGTCCGGTTGCAGAAGGCACAGCAGAAAGACTCCCCAGGTGATACAGACGAGACGCGATTCTTTCTGCGTTGTCTTTTCTCCTCGAGAGTGATCCTGCGTGTGTTCTCAAAAGCAGCAGCAGCGTTATAGATGGTGTGTCTCCAGGCCTCCCGATTGGAGGCCAGGGTAGACCAATGGTGATGATCAATATGGCCAAGGATGAGGGATTGTTTCAGGGAGTCCTTGAACCTCCTCTTCGGGGCTCCTCTCTTGCGGTAGCCAGTGGCAAGTTCCCCATAGAGTACGATCTTAGGGAGGCGGTAGTCCTGCATCCTGGAGACGTGCCCTGCCCAGCGCAGCTGTGTTCTCAGCAGCATGGCCTCAATGCTCGTGACTGCTGCCTGTTCAAGGACAGACGTGTTGGTCACATAGTCAGTCCAGTGGATGTTTAGAATTGTGCGGAGGCAGCGCTGATGGAAGCGTTCTAAGAGACGCAAGTGGTGCCGGTAAATGACCCATGATTCGGACCCATACAAAAGAGTAGACAGTACAACAGCTCTGTAAACACTGATCTTGGTACTTTTCTTCAGGTGTTTGTTTTGCCACACTCTTTTATGGAGTTTACCGAAAGCTCTGTATGCCTTTGCTAACCTGTTGTCTATTTCTGCATCAATCTTACCGTCTGAGGAGATGATGCTACCCAGGTAGCTAAACTGCTGGACTGATTTGAGTTCTGTTTCACCAATGGTGATATGGGGATGATGGGAGACTTCCTGAGGTGCAGGCTGGTATAAAACTTCTGTCTTCTTCAAGCTGACTTCCAGTCCAAACAGCTCAGCAGCCTCTGCAAAGCAGGATGTTAGACGCTGCAGAGCTACTTCTGTGTGAGCAACAAGGGCGGCATCATCAGCGTAAAGCAGCTCACGGATAAGACAATTTAAGGTCTTAGTGTGGGCCTTCAGTCGCCTTAGGTTGAACAGGCTCCCGTCCGTACGATATCGAATGTAGACACCGTTTTCATCATCGAGGTCTGCCGTGGCCCTTTGGAGCATCATGCTGAAGAAGACTGTGAATAAAGTTGGTGCAAGGACGCAGCCTTGCTTCACACCATTGGCTATTGGAAACGGCTCAGAAAGTGCGTCACCATGTCTCACTTGGCCGCGCTGGTCCTCATGAAGCAAGATGATCATTTTGAGGAACTTGGGAGGACATCCTAAACGTTCCAAAATCTGCCACAGACCTTTTCTGCTCACAGTGTCGAAAGCCTTGGTGAGATCAACAAAGGTAACATAGAGTCCTTTGTTCTGTTCCCTGCACTTCTCTTGCAGTTGTCTGAGAACAAATACCATGTCTGTGGTACCTCTGTTGGCTCGGAAACCACACTGGCTTTCAGGTAGAAGATCTTCTGCTATGGTGGGTATTAATCTGTTCAACAGAATTCTTGCAAGGATTTTACCAGCAATGGAGAGCAGAGTAATACCTCGGTAATTTGAGCAGTCTGATTTATCTCCTTTCCTCTTGTACAAGGTGACGATGACAGCGTCACGAAGGTCTGAAGGTAGTTCACCTCGTTCCCAGCAGCGCACC